CCTATGCACAGACTGTTTCCTCACAAGGGGCTTGTTTGTGCCTAAAAACTTGCTTCAATCTAAAATGTTTAAGGGAAAAGAACTTGCAATACAATCAGACTAGTGCTGCTGTCACTCTTCGCTTAATTTGGCTCAGACACAGATGAAAGTGAGGCACAACTTTGGCTTAGCGGTTAAGCCAAGCTGACATTTTGTACTGAAATGACAGAACAAATAGCAGGAACCACTGTAAAGGAAAACATTTTAAACTTTATGCTCACAAACGACTCCAAGGGGTGGCTTATTATTCTGGCTGTCGGATACTTCAGATATCTGTCCTAGTTTTGTTGGGCTGTCATCCCTTCTGTTTAAGATATGTCTTCACTTACATTAAAGACTCAGTTAGTCTAACAATCCTGACACAAAACGTTCCTTTAAACTTGGAGAAGGTTTTGTTGGATCAGGAAAATTCTGTGTATGTCTGATTACTTCTGTCGAGCTCACACATTTTTCCTGAAGAGATGATCTTTGTCTTCAAATGCCTTCCTTTTTTCTTCTGCCAATAACATTTCCATTCAACATATTCCTATTAAGAGAGTCTTTATAGGTTTTATGGCTCTTCTATATAATATTTGGCCTTTATGTAACACTTTTAACAAGAAATTAGTTAATTTCCTTATCTTTGCTCACTAGGGAGAATAAATTATTTTTTAACAAGTCTTAATGACGCTGAGAGCTTCTGGGTATCTTGGTTTTTTGGATGATACCCAGAATAGACATCCTTCAGTTGATGAGGGGGGGTGGGAGGGAACCAAATGTCCGGTGAGTGATATTCACTGACAGCTGGAAATTTCTTTCTTCCCTCAGCAGTGCAGCTCTAGTGCCATACCGAAGAGTTGCCACATCCAAACACACCAAATGAACAGCACTTAAAGCATTTCAAGAGATGTTGGGTGCGGTTTAGACACATCTGTGTTTGCTAGAAGGGAGGCAAAAGGTGCTGCTAAGCATTTTTTTTACAAACTCACTCACGTCCCAGGTCAACATCCCTGGAGAGAGTGCAGATATTTAATGATCTGCATTTTTACCCTGTGTTTTCCTTCAAAGCCCCTGTGGATATTAAACCTAGTATCTTTTCATACCTCTCCTTCTGACTATAAACCTCCATATGTCACTGTCCTGTTCGTTCCATTTGTTTCTGTCAACACTATTAAAATGAGCAAATTTAATGTCCTGCGAGCAACTGAAGTGAAAGCGGATGGTGCCAAGAATGATAATCTGTTTGTTCTCCAAACACAGAGAGGAGGAATGGTCGAGTAACTTGTTGAGAATAGATGTCACGTCTGCAAATAAGAGGGGTTGAATTGGCCAATAGTTTGTTCCTTCCTATTTTATCGGTTCCATCCTTCTGACCAACACTACAGCGACTTGTATAAACACCTCTACTGCTGTGTTTGCTTCAGTCAAGGCTAAAAAGGCAAGTGAGAGGCTTAAAGTGTTGATTTAGCTTTGAACCTTCTTAAACGTATATATAACCTTAATGCCAAGTAAAACTAAGGGTTATCGAGTAAAAGACGACAGATTGAGTGCTCTATATGTGACTTAAGCAGTAAAAAAAGGGTGAGGAAGGTATAAATAATGAGTGAAAGTATTTTCAGATGTATGGGTTCAGGTCAGGGTGCTGTGTTTTCAAAGAAAGAGCTTTTTATGTCCGGCTGCCTCTGTGGGGAACTGGTGCCCCTCTCCTACCCGTTCACCACAGTTGCTAATTGGACTTCAGCCTCATTACACAAACAAGTTGCCGAACTATTTTAGAAGGCCGAAACATTTGTGCTCCCACTTTATCTCGGCTCACTGATGTGCAAACAAAATATGTTAATGCCCCACTCTGTGTGAGGCCTGTAAATCAGATGGTATCAAAATCAAAAGGAGAATGCCTTGTCAAAAGTGTCTGGAAATGAACTACAATGACGTCGCTCTCCAGTGAAATCCTTTGGCTGTCTTTGATGTTCACGATTCCATATGGGCTGCGGTTTTCTGTTAATTTAATACAGCCCCTAGCTCCTTTAACAGCTTGTCTTCTGACATTGTTTGTCTCTTTGTAAGACATAATTGTGTCAACAACAGTCAGTGGGGATAAGACATCGGACCTTTTTGATAATTGCTTTCCCACAAGGTAAATTTGGCAGTAGGGGAGGAACCAAACATGCAAACAAACCAGCAGGCAGTAATTTTCTGCTGTGTGTTGCTTTGCATTTTAATGTTGATGGATTATTGCTTCGCTCTGGTAACTGACCACATGTTGAGTGGCCTGTTGTGCTGTAACAGCTCCAAGCTTATCACATCAGTAATGGTCACAGAGCTTGATCTGTTTCCACATTGGTTTTCCATCTAAATGTGTTAGTTGTAAATTGGCTTTTTTTTTTTCCCACCTAAGTGGAAAGCAGTTAAAGCCCCTAAGAAACCGTCTGGTCTTGAGTAGCTGAAAACATGAGCCCCTAACGTGTTGTTGCTGATTGCCAGACAATGTTCAAGCTGCAGGGTTTGCATTTAGAAGGACTAGATTCTAGTTCGCATTGTTGAATGAGGTGAGAGTGCGTGTCTGTCCATACACTTGCAACAGTTGAGCAGTTTACCTGAAATTTAGCCGAGACTATGCATATACATTTGCTGATATACATACAGGTGTCTATATCTTAGATCTCCGACCAGTCTACTCTTATCTTTTCAATATCTTGTAATTTATCGCTTGTGCACAATGCTTTTTCCACTGTTGCAGCTTTGGTCCTCCCATAGTTCACACCGAGAGAGCAAAAAATCTTGCTCCTGACTTAAGTACACTGTGAAAAGTTGTTCACAGTTACCAGTTCATCACAATTAAGAAAGTAACTTTTTTTTGCCAATAAGAGGACAGACAGTCAGAGATGTGTCTGTAAATTAACAATTAAATCTATAAATTTTAATGATTCAAGATACTAACAAAGTTCTGAAGACACTCTTGACACCCCCAAATGGGGGTTTCCTCCAACAAACCACTTGTGCTAAACAGTCATTTATGTTTCCACCACTGCATTTATGAGCTGCTTACAACCAGATTCTAGCTAGATCAGAAGAGGGAACCCCCTTTGGAGTTTTAAACAATCAAGTTTAAAACTCCACAGTGGAATATTGTAGTTGATTTTTTTTTTTTTTTTTTTCTTACAACACTGTTTGTACTGATCTCTGATCAGTAGGTCACGATTGTGAAGATCTGGCACTAGCCCTAGTTAAGCACTACAACTTTGGAAAAATCCAGTGTGTCATGAAATAACCAAAATAAAAACAGTGTGGGGGGGTAGTACAAGGTATTCTTATTTCTGTGCAGGCTGTTACTTCTTGACGCGGCCATGGTTTTGTGTTAAACACGTAACTAGTGCCAACCCTGTTCCAGCTTAATTTGTCTTTCATGTAATCCCATGAGATCCCAGGACAGTGTGTTTTTTTACAGCATGCAGCTGGGATTGCAGAACCAAAAGGTTGTGGCCTAAACTGTGTTGCAATCTGTATGCAAGCTGCTCAAATACACTCAGTGCTTTAAATGCAAGTAACATTAGTGTGTGCCTTTGTCTCCTTATGAGCACCATGCATATCCTTGTACTGCTGCAGCTGCTGGTGGGTGTGCTTTGTATTGAATAACCGCTTCACACCCGTTTTACGGTCTCATTTCTCATTGTGACCACCTCCTGATATGGATCAGTGACGAAACAAACAACCCTAGCCCCAAATTCTGAGTTGGCACCTTTCAGCTGATGATGAGACATAAACAAACACATGTATATTGTGCATTAAAAATATGACCTAGTCACAGACGCGAGTTCCTGAGCAGCATGCTGTTAAAGTCAATGGTCCATCTTTCCCTCAGTTGTTCCACAATACTGGCTTGACTTCTTTAAGGGCAAATTGTCACTGAATGGTGCATGAGTCTTTCAGTGAAATACCAAGGGAGTCATAAAGGAAGGTTCATGTTTGTGGGTTTATCGTTGAACCTTCTTTTGTAAGGAACTTTTCATTAAAGTCCAGTCAAGCAGGACCTTATCTAAACAGCTGACCCTCAGCCCGGTTTATTCTTTTCTTCTTCAGAAAAAAGGGGGCAGTCAGCTCAGCTAATGGCTGTAAGTGTTTGCATTCTTTTCCCTTCTTTCTGTAAGTCCAGCATTTAACTTTGGTGTCGTTCTTTAATAGTTTTACGCACAAAGGAACACGTTCTCTCTTTCCCTCTCTCACACACACACACACACACACAGGCTTGTGGCTTTTGGTGGTCCTTTTCAGAGCTGAATATCACAGTTAACCATGTGCTTCCTCTTGGTTATTGCTTCCCTATTGTCTGGCGGGTTTGTGTGCAGGGCCTTTTTTTTGTGTCACCCCTGCTGGAATCAGTCTGTTTACTGTGATTAAATGGGAGCAGGGAGGCTGATGAGGGTTGAGCTGTTCCTCTTTTAGACCAAGGGAATGTTGCAGTGCACACTGGAGTGGCACCATGTGGGGAGGAAAGGATCGTGGGGGAATGAGCTGAGCTTTCCAGATAAAATGTATAAATATATTTTACTTAGACAGCAGAGTTATGATGATCCCTGTGTTTAAGGACAGAACAAACCTAACCAGGAAGCTTAAAATGCAGAGAAGACTTGTTTGCGGAGAAAAATGTGCATGGGGCTTTCAATAATCTGAGTAAAAAGAAACTGCAAGGAATATTTTTGATGCTGTTAAAGGTTATATATGTTCAAAAAATAAAAATAAAAATCCTGCGCTGGGCCAGATGGCTGTAAATATTTATGTTGTATCGGTTTCATCTTAGAGTAGAAGGCTGATTTTTCCAGCCTGCTACACTGTTTATTGCCACTCTGTAAAGTTTATAGAAAAATTTGTCATTTAGTGGCAAAGGATATGCCATGAGGATATACGGAGGTGCCATCAGATTATAGGCAGACAGATCTGAACCGCAGGATGTGATGGGTGATCATATCTCTTTGTCTTTCCAGGTATTTGGTGATTACTATCACTTCCGGCATCGCAGAGTGGTAAAGAGATCGCTGTCTGATCACAGAGGGGCACAAGTCCGTCTGGAAAGAGATCCTAAGGTAAGAGGTTTATCTCTCGGGGTAGCGGGGCGTTCGGATGAGGCTAAGGTTTGCTTTTGGGGACATTTTTTTCAGGTGTGGGGACAGCTGCATCTTTATGGAAAGTGAGAAGTTATTATATTCCAGCTAAAAGGCATTTTTAGTTACCGTTTCTCACCTTTAGGACTGTGATGCCTGCAGTGAGCCTTCCAGTTAGCACTTGTCATAGCAATTAAGGATGTCTCATTCCTGTACTGCAGGTCAGATGGAGTCTAGATATAAAGCATTGTTTTATTCTACTGATTCAACCGAGTTAGCTCTTTTGCCTGTAGGTTGAAGATACTTGGTTCCACATTTTAATGATGTTAAACTGAGAAATACTTTTTTTTTTTTAAATCAGTCAATCCTAAAAGGAAATATGGAACATTAGGTGTGGAGCAGTGTGGAGTCATCTTACAGTCTTTACTTTATAATTCTGTCTGTTTGTACAACAAATTTCAGGCTTCCTCTCACAATAAATGAATGTCTTTTAGCTCCAGTTAGCTCTAATCTAAAGTAATAACTCATTAACATATTGATTGTACAGTAATCACGTAGAGATGGGAATAATTAAAATGCATTTTTTACATCATCATGTCTGGTAAGTCGAAGTAGAAAACTCAACGCTGCACTATTTAGAATTGTAAAAGAAAGTAGCGTTCAATCATGGTACTAATTAAAAATAATTAACCAAATGAAAAGCATGAGCTGAGCTGGATTTTCTTTCTGCATTGCAGATGTAATAAGGTGTCAATGCTAGCTTGGAAATCTTTGCTGTCTTCACCAAATGTGATTGACAGCTATGTGTTTTGGGAAAGTAGATGCATTGAAAGTAGACCCCGCGTTGAAAGATCCTCCATCATAACTGCCAACAAAAAGTCCAGATCAATTTACATTTTTTGCTATACTTAAGAAGCACTTGCGGAGCATTGTCATAAATAAAATGTAGAAACTCATGTAGAAACAGACATCTAAATTTTAGAGAAAAAAAAAAAAAAAAGAAAAAGACACAATGGGTCAAAATAGGTTCAGACAATTTTTTTTCTGAAACTTTTCTGCTGTGCCTTGCAAATACCACACACATTCCCCACATCAAGGCCGATACACTGGTGGCAGCAGGATGTTAGGCAAAACGCTCGCCTAACCATCAAGATGACTTTGGGCTCAGTGTCTTGCCTGAGGGTTTCACCGAAAGGAGGAGCCAGTATTAAAGCCCCCAATTAGTGAGCAACCTGCTCTACCTCCAGAGAGTTTCCTTTGATGCATTAATTCACTAATTATTTCTTCCACAAAGAATGATTAAAACACACAAATTTCCCCTAATGAAAGAACTGATATGCCAGTGATGTGGTGCAGCTTGTCTTAGGTAGTTCTTGCTGGGTTTTTTTATTTATTCTTTCCATTTTTGTTGTGCTCTCGGGGCATTTTGTGAGTGATGCAAGACAACAGTGTGGACTGATTTCAGGCAATTTTTCTTCATCCTGAATACATTTTCTACTTGTCAGTTTCCGATTTCTGCAGGTAACTAAAACTTACGAAAAAAAAAAAAAAAAAACCCCGAGAGCATTCACCTTTTAAAGTGCGCAGCACAGCCGTAGCTGCATTCCACATTCAATCAGTTGGTGTATGAATATTTATGGAAAGTGGCAGCCTCTGATCCGTAGGTTACCTAGGGGTAATTGTACAGAATTGGGAATACATTTAAGGAATTTCTTTAGCCCTATGTAGCATAACCAGAGCATTGAGTTTGTACATCAGCGTGATTTCCATTGCTAATAATGATCACCAGCAGTGTAGCTGGGTAGCATTTCTATAGCAACCCATATCTTTAACCAAAAAGACTTTATATTTAAGCCGAGTTCTGCAATCAGTCATAATTCCTCTCATAAATCTCGGCATCAGTCTGTAGAAATGCAGCCCCCTGACTGACGGGTTTCATTTGCGCTGCACAGGTGCTGAGCGGGAATAGACGAGCGTCTGCTGAGCTCGTTTTACCCGGTAGACACAGTCCCACCTCCTTCTCTGGGATTTCCTTTAACGTCGCAGCTCCATTTCCTGTTGCTGAATTCCTTTTGTCCCACAACTCCTCAGACAAAATGGACCGTTACACATCCAGCTCCTCCCGTCTGTGAAAATAGGAGTTGGGTTTTAATTTATTTTCAATCTGGTTTAATCAGGAGAACTTTGCCAATTCTGCTTTCCTCGCACACTTTACCAACCCCTCGGCTCCCTCCCTCACATAAACATCAATATTTGAACTTTTCTGTAATTAACAGTGTGATCAAAGCCTATGAACTGTGAGATTATTGCTAATTGTGCTCCCATATTACTGAACCACACGGCTACCCCCCCCCTCCCAGAATAAAAGGGTTAAAATGAAATAGGAGGATTTTTTAAACCCTGGAGAGACTCTCTGCAGCTTTTAAACTAGTTGAGATGAAGCCTAAATGTTCCACTGAATTCTATTTGAAGTGCAATTAATTGCTCACGAAAGCACCTAGGCATCTGCCAGACTTTATAAACCAAAAATGCAAGCGAGTTAGGGGTTTAGAGCTTTATGTATTACGCCCATGCATTGTTCTGTTTTCTTTTATTCTGGTTTTATTTGTTGTTTCGTACAGTACTTCGTTTCAGTGAATGTCCTTTTTTTTCTAGAGAGACAATAAAAAGGCATAAGGCACAGCAAAAGCACCAATTTTAACTAATTATCCGACACTTGTTTACGGGATTTTTTTTTTTAATAACTGCTTTTATTACTTCTGCAGTAATGGCAATTTTTGCATCTCCTAAACAAGTTTCATAGTAACATAAACTGCTTCATAATTCGTTCCAGTTTGTCACAGGGGAGCCGTGCTCTGCTTGTTGAATTTGGAAGGACAAAGCAGAGGGTGGACAAAATGAGTGTGTGGGGATTTTATTTGTTGGAGGAAAAATACTCACTCTCACAAACATGAGACAAGGCAAACTCTTTGAATGTCAGCTTTCCATTAGATTGGTATACACCCTGATTTTAATGTTCAAATATTCTCTACAGTGTATAACATGAAGATACACAAGTCTTCTTGCTAGTGTGCTTTCTTGCTGATCCTGCCAAACCTGGTAACATGTACCTTAAAATCCTCTAACTCTTCAGTTGCATTAAGCAAACTAAGAAATAATTTGCCAAAGACTCAAAACGGGGGGATTTTAGGCGTTTTGATGCGAGTAAGGTATATTGCTGAGCATTTACTGTAAATTTTCTTCCAGCTGTAGAGGTGTTGCTTGTTAAACCAGTGCTTCCTGTTTGTCTTTACCATTTCCTGGTTAGGTGTTAGGAGCAGACATTCCACAGTCGAGGGAGGTGTATACGGGGTTACAGCATGATTTGCACATTGTGGTTTTTTTCTGCATTGTGTTTCACAGCATACAAGGATTCAAGGTTGCAACATCCCATGCGCTCAAAATTCTGACGAAGCGCTGGAATAAATATGAAAGGTTGCAAAATAATAACGAGGGCAGCGAGGTGTTTGTTGCTCCATGCTTTACACACCACACATATGAATCGTTGCATGTAGGTCAGCTTGAAAATGTCCCACACACACAACAGCCTTTCCCTGTGTACGTGTGAAACCAGAGTGTCAGATATGATAGAAAGGGTGCTAGGAAACGAAAAGGGGGAAATCACACCCTCATCCTGATGACGCAGAAGAAAAGAAATGGTTTTAATCTGAGTTGAAATCAAATGAAGTTTAGTCAGTGCAGAAAATGACTGCTTTCTTCTGTCCATAGAGATTGTTTTAATAAATTTGTCGTCTTATTAAAATGGAAAGCCACAGTTAAGCTGAAGAAAGAAGCAAAGCGCTCCATTAGCTGCTTTTTCATCCGTCTCTGTCTGGCCACTTAAATTGTTCAAAATTTGATGCATGTATGGTGAAACCTGGAGAGTGTCTCAGTCCTTCAGTGATTCATGAATTAGAATTAGGTTTTAGCAACTCTTCCACTTATCTAATTTAGTGATGTCAGATTTTATAGGCTCTGATCTGATTGTACTAAAAGCAGTGTTTGCCTTGGCTTGCTCTATAAAAAAAAATATGAATGCAGTATTGAATAAAAATGCTTGTTTAGATGACCTGTCTTAGTTCCTTTTTGAAGAATTGAATTTAGCAGAATGTTGTCTGCAAAATTCAGAACTGCAGGGATTAAAACTTTTCTTTGATTGGAAGATACATTTTTTTGTTAAGTTTAAAGCCTCAAATCAAAAGAGCTACAAAGTTTTTAGCAGCATGTCCTGAATGCTCTGGCATAGGCTAATATTTTAAACATGTTCTTCAAAGTGTCTTTCAGATTTACATGTTTGATTTATGAGATATGACCTTTAGGGTCTAAACACAGTAGCTGCTTCCTCTCACTTTCCCACACTTGCAACTAGAGGTGCACAGATCCAACTTAGAAATTTATTTATTTTATACTTTATTTTATCGTTTTGTTCCAGTTTTGCCTTTGAGGAATATAGAACATGAAGTAGGAAAATGTTCTACACGTTTTGTAATCCTACAGAAAATGTAAAGAACATCCTAGCTTATTTATCAAAGCTTATGGCTTTAAATTTTCTTAAATTTGTTATGGAACTCAAAGTTAATCAAAGTACATGTTGCTGCTTGATGCATTTAAAGCCTTAACTTCATTAGACTCTATAATTTTGATTCTGTAATGGATAATAATAATAATAATAATAATAATAATAATATAAAAACGTTTTTATTAAGGATTTTATTTAATTTTTTGTATTTGATCCTTCCCATCACCAACCAGAGCTGATTCAGAGTGTGTGAACTGCCACAGTGATGCAGCTCAAAGTTGACCTGATCTTCACTGTTAGAATAGCATAAAAACTTCACATCCTCTTAAACTGATTGAACCCAAACCCAGACCTCTTTGACGTTTTGAAGAGTGTTTTTCTTCCATTATGACATTGCTTCAGCAGTTAATATAACCTTCATTACTTTTTACCTCTTTGTCCCTCTCCCTCTGTCTGCATCACCAGAGATTTGAGTAAAAAGGGAGATTGGGTGTAATTTAGTTGTCCTTCACATCAGGTACTCTGTCCTTGCTGCAGACAGTTCTGTCTTTCTTCTTTGAAATGTTTTTTTTTTTTCTTCTTCTTCTATGCGACTTACCAACCTAGGTGTCTGCCTGTGCTCAAAACACAATCCAGCCAGGGAGTAATATTCAGAAACATTTTCCCTGTAAGCCCTCTGACTCTGCCAACATTTCCGACAAGTGTTCCCCCATTATGACAGCCCGCTGCACACTTATGTATTGTTATGCGTCCCACCCTAATATGCATTCATGTTCAGGTGTACGCATATTCACAATAACCTCTGATGCATTGCATTTCACTTTACACAAACCGGAAATTTTAATTAGTCTTGGCCTGCTCTGGAATTCATCAGCGAGCCTCATTAGAGAGGAGTCCAGCATGCCCCGGTGCCTCTAATCTCACTCTTTCAGCTGCCGTCCCGGTGAGAGTTGGAGCTCAGTTATTTCATTTGGCATGCTGACACTCATGGGCAGCGCATAATTATACCTTCTCTTCCCCCCTTCTTCCCCCCTTTAAATGTTGTGAGTGATGTTGCTTCTGCATTTTGTTTTCTTTGACTGAAGGTTACAGAACGTCTACCTTTTTTTGTCTCTAATTTTTTTGTTTCTGCCCTCTCTGTTTAGGTTACTTGGTCAGAGCAGCAAGTGTCCAAACAGAGGAAAAAGAGGGATACCGTCACAGAATTTGTTGATCCCAAGTTCAGAGACCAGTGGTACTTGGTGAGTATTAACAGTGCGTGACAAAAACCTAACTGAGCAGAAGCTGCCTGAGCAGCAGTGGTGTCCAAACATGAAGTCTGGCTTTGCAGCAGTTCATAAAAAGCACAGCAACAAACAGGGAAGGCAGAGCGAGACGGGCGCAGTTTATCTTGAAGTGGTCTTGTTTTTATTGGATTGATTTTCACATTTGACTTGAGGAATGCCACTGATACATTAGGCCGTTAAAAGCAGTGGTAACAACTCCTGAGACTTTCAGCTCAGCGCCGCTCTTCAATTACTGTGAGGTTGCTGCAGGCAGAAGAAGATTCATGGTGATGCAAAACAGACTTGAATCACAAACTGCAGGAACAGAGCCTGTAGTTAGTAGTTTTGACAAGAAAAGAAGTAAAAGACCACAAATGCCTGTAGAATTGATGTGTGTTACTCATCCTGGTAAGATCATAGTACTTTACCCCTATCTTATGTCATATCCTGTGTGGCAAAATGAAAAAAAAAAAAAAGTTTATCTGAAATCTAGTTGCACCTCTAGTTACTTCTAATACGTCTAATAGTATATAATTTTCATTCATTTTGAAGTTTTTTTCTTTTATTAATGAGCTATAAAACCATCAGCCTTAAAGCTGTAGGAAAAATTGCACACAGTTCAAAGTAAAGTTTGTTTTACAGATTCTTGCATAAAATCACAAACTGGTGTATTTTATTGTGATGTTTTGTTATAGAGAATAATTGTCTAGTTATTCAAAACTTTGAAAATCTTTTACAAGTAAAAATAAAAAAAATAAATAAAAAAAGATGCGTACTCAGATGTATTCAGTCCCCTTTTCCCTGATATACTTTAATAAAAAAGAGAAAGTTTAAATCAGGGTAAAGTTATAAGTGATTTTCCCCATGTCTCATGGATGGAACATCTTGTAAAACCCTATCCTAAATTAAGATTACAACACATCCACAAAACCTACCAATATGGCTGTCTACCAAAGCTGACAGGCTAGAGGACTTTTAGTAGTGGGGGGGGGTCCTTGTAGAAGTATTTTATTGATGGACATATGCTAGCACTGTGGATCTGATATTAGATTGAGCATGTTTTAATTTGTTTAAATTAGATTTTAAAAAATGTCCTGCTGATAAATTACTGATACTGCTTAAAACAAAGATTTTGTCAGTTTGCTGAAAATGAGAAGGAGATGCTCCTGCTTGATGGACACTATTCAGAATTAAAAATGTCAGCCACAAAAAGGCCTTTTTTTTTCTTTTTTTGCAGAACTTCCTCTGCATTGCAAATCAGAGTAAGTCTACAAAATTAGAACTTTCAGTTTTAATTGATTTTTCTTCTTGATGCTTGGGGTGTCAAGGATCTTACAAGGTTGTGGAGTAATTTAATTCTGTCTGATCGACCCAGGCTCACATGGTACTGTACTGAAATCCAGGGGAGAAGTGCTCTGGATGACACCTCAGACACATTACTTTTTAATGGTTAACTCAGAGAGGAGGAGCTTTGAACCGTTTGAAAGTCCAATGTGACTTTTGATAAAAGGTCAAGTTAAACGTCAAAAGCATGCAGATTGCATTCAGTGTGCCTTCACTCACCTCACTGTTTCTTATCTTTGCTTGCTGGCTATAGGAAGTGTAGTCAGAGCAAATGTGATACTGATATCCTTAAACATACACCCTTGATGCTCCTCATACCATCACTGCTTCACTTTAAGTGGAAAAATTCAAACGGCAATAAAGATTGTTTTCATTTCATCCAAATAAAGAAGTAATTCTTAAAATAACTAAGTTGTCTTGTGTTTTCTTCTCTATTCCACAATGAGTTTTATTCTCATACATCTGCTGTCTTTGCTCTCAGTATAACAGCAACCACCGGGACTTGAATGCCAAAGCTGCTTGGCAGTTGGGCTACACAGGTAAAGGAGTGGTGGTGTCCATCCTGGATGATGGGATAGAGAAGAACCATCCTGACCTGTCGCAGAACTATGTGAGTACATGAAAAATATGCACACAGAAAATGCAACAGATTTCTGGTATACAAGTTAAGAACCAACAGTTGATGACGCAAGCTGCTCTTCTGTCTTTTAAAGGACCCGGAAGCCAGTTATGACGTGAATGATGCCGATCCCGATCCTACGCCTCGGTACACGCAGCTTAATGACAACAGGTAGCTGTTTATACTGATCACGGTTTCATCTGTTCTCTTGCTTTGCGTTTTCTTTTCCTCGGCCTACTACGCTGCTGCTTCTGTAAATGTGGCTCTGTGGGACACATGCTGAGAGAGGAAGTCCTGTTGTTCAGTTTCTGCTTTAATCACACTTCTAGTATGTAAATAATTACCACCCATAACTAAATAAAAAGCCTTTTATTCGCTGGTGAATAAATACAAGTTCATTAAATAGGTGATTTTTACTCATTACATTTAGAAAGGGAGATTACTTACTAACAAATTGAGGAATTAGAAATGTTTATTTCTGATCATTTTAATAATCATCACTGGTTTTCTGAGTTTAGACAATTTCAGATTAAAATCTGAAAAAAAAAAAATAAAAAATGTAAAAGAGAAATGTCAGCCTACTGAAAAGTTAGTTGTAGAGCGGTCTTCAGCTCAGTCTCATTTTTCACTTGACAAGAATCCATAGATTCTGTTTGGGGTTTTAGATCAGGCCAATTTGTTGGCCAGTCAAACTCAGTGATACCCTGGTCACTGAAGCGGGAATAGGTACTTTTGAGAGTATGAGCAGGTGCCAAGTCCTTCTGGAAAATGAATAAAGCATAAAGCATGTCACCAGAGTGAATCATGGATTGCTCTAAAAAGTCCTGCAATTCATCTGCACTGACTTTGGACTACAGACACAACACTAGCAAGTGACAGGACTCCCTAAATCACCTGTATTTCTCAAAAAAAAAAAAAAAATACTCTGGACTTGTACATTTTTCTTCCACTTAATTTTCCATTGATATGCTTGGATTTAGCGCTGCATGAGCAGCCAGCTTCTTCAGCTCAGACCTTTTTATAGTTTATCTTCCTTGTAGAGGATCTCAATGATTACCTGCTGGACATTTGTCAAGTCAGCAATCCTTTCCATGATTCTCAATGCCATAACATTCTTATAGTGTAACTAACAGAACAGTTCTGTTCTGTTTGCCTGATGAAATATTGGAGTTTTGTGGGACACTTTGCTTTTGGTTTTCTTTAGCTATGAGCCATAGTTATACAAATAACATCACTAAAGATTTTAAAATTGACGACTCTGTAATTAATCTGAATATACAGTTATTTATTTCCATTACTGAAATATTCAAAGCTTTTAAAGACAATCTAATTAATTAAGATGGACTCTCAGACTCTAGAAAATCCTAATTCTTTGGTACTTTCTAAACCTTTTCTTTGTTTCCATTTAGTGGTACATGCAACGTGGGTTGTTGCATGTATACATGTTGCATGTATTTTATGGCCCAATTTATTTAGGAGAGCATTTCTTCTGCCAACTGGGTCCTCAGTAGGCAGGTGGGGTTAAACCGAAATGCCTTGCTTTGCGTCATACTAATGCAACAGCAGATTTGACGTAATACGTCTCATGCTTATCACAAGCAGTGATGTTTTTCAGAACTGTGTCTTGTGATGCCAGTAGCTTCTGCGGCATTGTCCTATGGATCCTACAGCTGAAGTTGGCCCAGGAATAGTGCTGCAGGGGTCGATTATAAGGCCTGCTTTTACAATGAAAACAGACAAAACAGCCCACCGCATTGATCTGTGCTGCTCAGTGGAAACTGGACTTCAGTTTTCTGGCTTCCTAAAGCTCCACAGTACCACCAAGACTCTCTTATCGTCTGAGTAAATTTGCTCTGGTATTAAGGTATTGCGTGTAGAAAACATCATTATTGCTGCGGTGTCTCCAGATGACATTAGGGTTTGTTTATCGCCACCATGGTGCCCTGCAGTGAATTGGATTGAATTAAGTTCATCAGCATTAATGAAACAGCAAATCACTTGGCTCAGAAAGGTCCCTACTTGTCTCCCCCTCACCCTCGCTGCCTGCCCCTGCTTCTCCCCTTTAATTTCTGATTTGCAGTAATCTGCTGTTTGTTGGCCGCCGGCCCGGGAAACCTTTTTAAGGGGAGGCGCTGTGTGATTGCTGATGATGGGCAGAGAAGATTAGACTTTGGGAAAACGAGGTGTATCGTAAGCTACAGATGGAAGATTGTTAGTGTGTTTGTGTCATATCATGGGAGCGAGGGGAGGACAACCATGGGTGTGTGAATCTAATCCCACTGAAAATAGGTTACTTCTTTAAACCCACACACAACTGGGAGAAAAAGTTTGACAAGTAATGATTCAGTACAAACATGGCTTTCTAGTGCCGACCAGTTGAGTGATTTTTAAGACACTATGAGACTGGTGTCCCAGAAAGTTATCCCACTATCATTAATAAAACCTTAAATGGTGGTATTCCTTGAGAAAGATTTCATATAAAAATCCCTCCTGTGCAGTTCCTCAAGTCAAAAATCTATGTCGAAGAAGGTTAAGCCCCTCCTGGGGTTCATGGTGGCCCAGAGCCCAGCAAAGACGCTTCTTATTGAGGTTTTCCTCTATGTGGATTAACCTCTCGCAAACAAACCCCAGCTCCTATCTGGAGCCACCCAGCCCTTTGTGGCTTCCATCTGGCTGGATCCGTTTAGAGGGAGAACGTTTGTATGTGTGCTTCTACATGTGTTTGTATGCTATACTGTACAGTTAGTGCAGATCTACGTGCAAACAACCTGTGTGAGGGCCTGAATGTGTGAGAGACTGTAACTGTCTGTTCTCTTCTGAAAGCCCAACTCTGTTCGCTCCCATAAGGCTGCCTTTCTTTCACAGCATGCAAGCCGTGGAGAGCAGCAGTCACCCTCATGTTTATCTAAAGCAGCATGCAATCTAGATGTTTCTCTTTCCAGGGTTTTCTCCAAAAACCTATTTGGATGATTTTCTAATTATGTTTGTGGGTGGAATTGTTTATAGAAGTGTATAAGTTTAACTATAAACTTGGATAAGTGCATTTAGTGTCAGCTTTTGTAGTTTTAATTATATATATATATATATATATATATATATATATATATATATATATACACACATACATACATACTCAGGAAGATTTGCAAATCTGCAATCATTTGATGCCTGACATCCCTGGGACATGCTTAATTTATTTCATTTTGAAAGATTGGCTTTCTTTACTTTGGATTTTAAAAAAATCACTGGCCCTTTTGTGCTGCAGACCAGCTCATTAGTTAACAGACAGGCCCATTAACTGACTCAAGAAGGAGCAGAGCAGAACACTTGTTCTGATTTACCTTTGAGGTTGAGTGAAACCAAGGAACTATTGAACTGCAAATGCTACTATCTACAACCTCGGGAACCTCGGAGCCTTCAAAAGTTTTATTTTAATGTAATCGGGCTCCGAGGAAGGAATCATAATCATATGCTTTGTGTAAATCTTTGAATGTGGGAGCTCTGGCACTCTAAAGATAATAATTGGAGTGATACTCTCTTAAAATCTATGTATGAACATCCTGAATGTCTCAGTCCATTTCAGCAGCACAAGCAGTAAGTATGTAATGTTTCTAATCCTATGCAATCAAATCCTTCTTAAATCATTTCTGTTCTTCTTTTGTTTGTCTGAGCCAAGTTTTCACATTGAGTTTTATCAGCAGGAGCCACATTTAGATCTCGTCAGGTGTAACCATAGAGATGCTCTGATTTATGATTCTTGGGTGAAGATCAGATTCTGTTATCTGCATTTAAATCAGCTAACTATTCCAATCCAAAACACTTTACCCTAAATGTTTAGTGTTGTATAAGTGAATAGGATAAACCATCTGTCGTCTATAAACCTAACATTAGGTATTGGATCCAGTACCTAGATTGTATCAGTCCGGTTCCATCTGATGTTAATATTTCCCTTTTTTCCACAGATCCCCCTCATAAACAGCCAAATAAAAGAGACGATTCTCCCATTTTTACTCCTTAATGTGCCATTTCTGCAGGTTGGAAGACATCCGTTTCACAACACTAGCTCCCTTACATGGGTTCTGTAAGGCTTTTATTTTGGTTAGTGCTGGTAATTTGCCTTCTTTAGATCATATTGTTCACCTCACTCAGTTATGTTCTGTACCAGCAGTCCTCCATCAGACTGGTTCTCCAGATGTTTAAACAAAACTTTTTATTTTTGTCGTCATTTATGGTTACTGTCGTTACACCGTATTTGTCTAACAAGGCTGAAGAATATGTAGGAACCCAATAAGCGTTTGTTTTACTTTCTTTTTCCCGGAACCGCTCAAGATTCTGGTGTGAATGTGTTGGGACATACGTGTCTAAATACAAACCACATTTATCTTCCTGTTTCTTTTGTCATCAGGATGTTGGGTGTAACATTTGTTGCGTGAAAAGAAAAGGTGTTGACCTTTTAGTCCAACGGTGCACTTACTGCTAGTATGTGTCAAAATTGGGGGGAATCCACACTGATTGATTCTTGTATCGTTTGTTTTTGACTGCATGAAGCACAGGAACAGTCTTCTTAATTTTGGTGGAATGATAGTTTGTCCGTCGTATGTTTGTCTCTCCAAGTTTTATGCTTGTACATTTGCCTGAAATACTAGCTGCAGCTACATAAAACTACAACAATATATAATTAAGGATGCGAAAGAAGGGTAAGCAGTTTGATGTTGCTTTGTTTGTGAAGTGTGTAAAGGAATCCATCAGGCAGGTTTTACAGAATTAATCAGGGTGTCTTGTTAACGATTCCCACTCATCAGCTCATTGTTCCTCCTGACATCCATGCTTACTGGTGTGCATCCTGTGATGATCTTGTGCATTGTGCAGTCAACGCACCCACCACAGAGCAGTAGAAAATTTCTTCACATCTTGCCTCTTTTTTGTTGGAGGACTAGTTGTCCCCTGGGGGAACCATTAATAAACGCACATCCTGTTGACCGCTTCTGTTTTTCCAGATATTGTGCCGTAAAGATTTATGGTTTTTAGCCTTTGCTCCGTAACAAATGGAATAAATAAAAATGAAAAAGAAAACCCAAAGCCTGTCTTCATACAGTGAGATAATTGGCTTTCTTTTGGCATTTAAAGGTCATTTTTAATTAAAACTTCTGGGTGCCCTTTGGTCTTGAGATCTTAATGTAGCTTAAACAAGAGATTTTCTTTTTTTTTTTACTGCACAGGTATTATTATAATTTTCTGCACCATCTCCATCATCAGTAAGACTGGCATTCCAACGTTGCAGTGAAGATCTGCAGACTTTAGGATCAATGCCAACATGTACCGATGGTTTTCTGGCAGTACTTTGTGGTTAAGCACATTCCTGAAACCCTTTGCTTTGTCTCTTTGCATGATTTGTCATCAGTGTACTTTCACTGCCCGGCCCAAAAGGTGAAAGTCTCTAATATTTTATTTGACCAGAGCTTTGTTACGTTTTCTTTTGTGTCTGCATTGTTTCCTAGCAATTACAATATGCAGTGTGTCATTGATTTCTCGCCAGAGCTGCATTCATTTGTTTCGCTGGTAGACTATTGATGATGGATCTGCTCCAGCCCATTAAAGGTTCTCAGTGGAGCTAAAATTCGGACTGTGCGGTGGCCTGATGATTAGTGACATTGCCATCCCACTGGCATATTTCTTATATAACCACCCTGTATAGTTGTTTAAGGAATAGCTCTCTAATTAAAGTGTTTTACTGTCAAATGTATCTCTGCTGTTTTCCTCGGCCTTTAACAAGTGAGTGGGAGAAGTTAGAAGGTATCATCTTGGATTGTTTTATATCTCCCAAGATAATTAGTTCGAGAGTGCTGATAGTGCAAGCAGTTTTTGCATAATAAGAGTGTAAAGATTGACCTCTGCTAGTGTTGCTGCATTCTGTACATCGGCCTGCCCAGGAAATGAATCTATTAGAAACAGCTGGAAAAAGGGGTTTTGCTGACAATGAGAGGAATGGGTCTGTGCATGCCTGGCATCTGATCGCAGACACCTTGGCTTCTGCTTATCAGCTGCATCGCAAAAATAACAGATGCAGAGCAACATAATACCCCAAAGAGTACAAACCAGCACTTCCAGGAATGTTGTGATAAAGCTCAGTGGAAAATGACTCAGATGACATTTTTGTGTGAAGGTGTTTTGCTTCTTGAGTCTACAATGAGCTTCTATTTTTTTATTCATATCCAGCCACCATGTTTTTCTCTGCATGCTTCAGTCAAGCTTCGTCTTCCTCTAAATAACATCCTGCGACATATTGGAGTCCTGGTGTTACTGTTGATTGTGGCATTTACATTAGCCTTCGCCCTCTGAGCTCACCACTGTGTCTTAAGAAAACTCGGGGGAATGGAAAGTGAATTACAGTCCTCTGACCTTATGCCAGTATACTCGAGCTTTTTTTTTATGCAACCAGAAATCTTGATTCTAATTAGATGTCCCTGAAGATTCAGGTTGTGCCTCCTCAGACCTCTCGATTTTTTATTTTTTATTTTTTTCCTTGTACAGTTCAAAATGCACCATGGCAGCAGAATCCATTACAGATTAATAACCAGTAATAGCCCCAGTGGCAGACTACAAGCTAAAGCACAGCTAAATGTCCTTACCCTGACATTATACGGAGAGTATTTTATCAGTAGACGTTGGCTGTTGGCTGGTGTTGTGTTTGATTATTTGGTTTTGGTTTGGCTCGTCAGCTAGAGTGTCTCAGCAGAGCCTGGCTGGCTCAGAATGTTTCTTGAGCAGTGAATGAACGGCCTTGGATCCAGCTTTCCTGTCTAGGAATGGCTGCAGTCCAGGGAGACTCAGCTAAAGGTTTTAGGGCTTTAAACCTGTGTATCCGCCTGGCTGGAAAGGGTACACACACCTGACTGCGGTGGGATCATCTGCCCTTCTAGCGCTCTTATTTTGGATCCCCACACTGTGGTGCCTGGAGCTAGCCCTTACCGCAGGGGCTCATGTTTAATGGAAATGGCAAGCCTAATTCACATCTTCCTCGTTATTCAAGCTTGAGGCAGTCCAAGGTTACTAATGCTACAAAGCTGGAGATAATGCACAATGGATTGCCCTCACTGATGAATTTATTTGTTTAACAGTATCCATGCCAAGTCTCTGTCTCCAAGAGTTTGTGTTGTCTCACTGTACAGCTTCACCACACCACATGATGGGAAATATTTTTTTCTCATATAACCTTTAAGAGACCTATATTCATCTTTTGGCTGCACGCGCGGTAAATGGTTGTCAGCAGGTTGACCAAATTTACGAGAATAAGGATTTTTTTTTTTGTTTCTTCCTCCTTTCCAGGCATGGAACCCGATGTGCGGGAGAGGTGGCGGCCGTGGCCAACAATGGGGTCTGTGGGATCGGCGTTGCCTACAACGCAAAGATCGGAGGTAATGATTTGGTTTCTCAAAGCTACATCACGGTTCTTTTTTGACTGCATGTTGAACAGCCTAATACTGAAATGAAATGGTGAACCTGCACCTGATTATTTATTTATTTATTTATTTATTTTTTTTACTTCTTCACTGCATTTCTCAGACACAGTATGTCTCTAAATCTTTTTAAGCATCGCTGCAGCTGTGAGGATTGGCACGCTGCTGTAAGTGTATTGGTTTTGCAAGGAGTAACAGTCTTGAGATGTGGTTCCTGAAATGACACATTGCAACAGCCTTGATTCAATTTGTGTGTGTGTATTGTCAAACTCTCTTCGCTCAGTTTTTATCGATGTTCAGCAGAAATAACCTGTGTAGATTTGTGACCATGGGTTTTAAATAACCTTCTGTGCAAAAGTATCATCAGCAGCTTCCACTTTAATAATGTCAGATTAATTGCTCTTTCACTTTATTTTAGCAAAAAATAAATGAATAAATAAAAAATACACCAATGTGACTTGTGTGGGATTATTTTAAAATCATGCAATTTACAAATAATGCCTGGAGTGTTTCCAGTGAAGGAACATTGAAATCCACACAGTCATGTTAAAAATCTGTGTTTTACCATTCAAATAACTCAATAAAATCTGTTTAACTTGGTGGAAATATTAATTAAATGAATTCAGTGGAGTGTGTGCTCTCATCAAAGCTATTTTAATGGAATCTATCCAGTAATATTATCATATTCTATGGTTATGTTCCAAATTGCAAAGTTAAAACATCACAGCCTTTAATTATGGTGAGAGATTTAAAAGAAACTGATATGCAGCTGCTGCATAGTTAATGTAATGCTCCTTCTGGACACAAATTTTAGACTTTAATTGTTTAGTCCTGTGGATTATTACCAGCTTCCTTTGAGCTTAAAGTGATTTTTACATCAGCTTCCGAGTGTAATCACAGTGAAATAATCATGCATGGGAATCATCACCACATTTTATTTTTACAGCTGAGGCTTCTTTCTCTTTTCACTAAACAGACTTGGGAAGCAGAATCGGCCAAATTGAATTAAATCTGTTCCAACTTTGAACAGTGTTTGGACTGACTTTACATATGGTAGCTGATAAATAATAAATGCTACTAAATTATCTTATATTAATCCTTCATTTGTCTGACTTCATTGTTTTAAATCATATTTTTGGACTCTTCTGTTGCGGTGGGAGATCTGTATCCCCAGATAGTAACAGCAGCATCTCTTCTGCAGGGGGAGGAACTGCTAAGCATCAGCAGATGTAATTTATGTAAACCACCCAGTTTTGTACCTCAGTGCAAACGCACACAGCTGACAGACTGGGAAGAATAAAATAAATTCAAGGAAGATGAGTTCCACAGGAAAAGCATTTTGGGTTGCTGAGTTTAAATGCGCCTTTCCTCTCTCCTGTGCTGCTGATGTTGTCAGAGAAAAGGGAAGCGACAGAAATTCAATAACTGTTGTACTGCAAATCTAAATACATTTCCTTTTTATTAAAGACAATGTATGAGGTGCATGACATTTCTTTTACAAGTTGTCGCAGATGGAGAAAAGGAAAATCTATTATAACCCGCGTCTGGGAGCCTGCTTTTGGTATGCCTAATAAAAATCACAGTTTGTTGTTCTTATACTCTAATTAATGCAGAATATTTTGTAAATTAGCTTAACATTAAACTGAGCGCTGTACGAAGCACATCTGGCAGTTTACTACTTTCAACTTTGGAAAAAAATAATTCACGAAATAATGTAATCTAATTGTTCTCAAAGCGTCTCCAGGAGATTATGCTTATTTTAACCCATAACAGAAACAGTGAGTTCTGCTTCAACCTATTAGATTCTTTTATTACATAAAAATACAGTATACATAAGTTGGAAAAGCTCCTCATATTAAGAGATTTTTAGTTTTCATGTATTGTTTCTTTTTTTTTTTACTTGTAGTTCTTTATAAATTCACTTTATTTGTACCTTACTGATTAACTTTGGTTTGTTTGCATCTGCAAAATGAAGTACGAATCTGGTTCAATTTACTGCTCTAATCCCATCTTTGGAGTCGAGTACCGTTTCCTTTTTTGATGAAAGCTTTGCCTCAGATGTCGTCTTAACTCTCAAGGAGATTTCACACACGCTTCAACAGATCTCATTCTTTTGGTATTTCTTTTACAACCATCTTGAGTACAGACAAAATCAATAGAGTTACTGTTTAAATTATACTGCTGGCTCCAAATTGAAATGATAGCAGATGTACACTAGCGGCATTTCCTTCCATTCTGAATGTCCTTTATATGAAACACATGCAGGTTACATAACTTATAAGACATGTTAATATGCATATCAATCACTAAGAGGAAACATTTGAAGTTTTTTTTCTCATCTGAGCTACATCCTTGTAGAAGAGTGAACCACATTTTTGCCCGAATTTTGAGTCATTATGTTGTGAATTTTCTGCAGCGTTTGAAGTTATTGTCCAGCTGCATGACCCAGTTTGGACCAAGATTTAGCTGTTGGACATACTTTTCAATACAGAGGGGTTTATAGTTGACACCAGCTACAACATTTACAGGGTCTTGTGACTGCAAAAAAAATTTAAAATCATCACTCCTCCGCGTTTGTTGATACGAGGTCTTTGTTTTTACTAAACACGGAGCTGTGTATTATAGTTTTAATCTCTCTCCTGTTTTGTCTATCAACAGGATTTTTTTTTTTTTGCCTGAAGTTATGTGGTTTGTTCATGCACAGCTTTGCAAAGCTAAGCCTTCCTGTCATCTCATTTTCTAGCAGATGTTTTCTTCCGGCTACTCTATCAAACTTGAGGATTGAAAACCCTAAGTGAGGCGAAGGAGAGAGACATGTAGATCATGCCGTTTTTTGCAGTGTTTTGTTGCTTGGATGTCTTTTCCAACGAACACTATTTATTTTATTAAATGCTTTTTTTGTTGTTGTTTTTTTTTTACTTGCGAGTAGATACTCATGATAGCAGCACAACATGCGACTGTGGTGATATTGTTGTGATTATCCAACATTATCTTCATTATTCTATTTTTTTCAGAGTCCTCACAGCTCTTGAAGGTATTTAGCATCTCGATCACTAAAATCCATATCAAATAATAACTCACCAAATATAATAAGAACCTACAAAGTTAAATTTTCTGAGAAACATAGTTGTTATATTTAAGAGTTACAATTGCAAGTCTTAGTCATCAAAAATATCATAAATAAAATACAGTATGTATCACTGGAAGTGCAGTGAATGCTTGTAATTCACAAGGTTCTCTTTTTAAAGAGTAGCTAAAGCAAATCATTATCTAATTTATTGAGATGCACCTGTTAAAAGACTCTATACCATTTTAAAATGCCCGTAAAAGCCTTCCCTGATTTATAAGGAACACCAACAGCTCCTCTTAGATTGCTGAAGTTTTTACTCCTTGTCATTTCATTGACTCATCTTAATGCACCAAAGCAGCAAACTGCCAAAACTTTTGCCATTTATAGAGGTTCTCACTGGCTGACGATGAGTTAATCGGATTTCCTGGCTGCTGCTTATCCTCCTAATTGCAGTGACGGCATTAAATATGTAATCAGTTCTTTGACACACTGCTTCGACACCTTGGCTTAGTTTTTATTAACTAAATAACGCTAATGAAATGGGGCCATGTGGTGTTCATCTAAAGTTGGATTAACCCTGTTTGAAGACGGGGGATCTTTGACTATAAATCATATAAAGCTGGTGATTTGTGTGCATTAGATATTCATATAAAACTACCATTTCTACTTGCTGTCAACCTGGCTGCAGGAGTGCGCATGCTGGATGGAGAAGTGACTGACATGGTGGAGGCCCAGTCTCTCAGTCTGAACCCGCAGCATATCGACATCTACAGCGCCAGCTGGGGCCCAGAGGACGACGGCAAAACAGTCGATGGACCCGCTAAACTGGCCAAGGAAGCCTTTCTTCGAGGAGTCACTGATGTGGGTGTATGATTGTGTCTGTGTGGGACAGAATTATTTACTGCCTCTGTATTGCCTCCTTTCACCAGTAAGTAATTGAACTGTTCAGGCATGAGAGGACACCAGCAAGAGGGACAAAGCAGTTTTTGACCCTGGCCATCCCGAATGGGAAGAAATGTCCTCTAAAAGCCACCAGCGAGGACAATCGGGGAGAAAGGGGAAACAAAAAACTGTCTCCGGCTGGTTCCCCCTCCCTTAGCTCCTCATTTGTTTTAAAGCGGTGTTGTCATCTGAACAACTGTTTTAGGTATTTTTGAAAGGCTATTTATTATAATAAAGGTGGCCTTCCAAATGATAAACATTCACTGCAGCTTTGAATGATTAAATATTCCCAATTAAACTCTAATGTCCCAAACATTGGAGATTTCAGGAAGATTAATGCTAAAAGCCAGTCTGTCGGCGTCGAACGGTAACAGTCTGAATATTAAACATGAAAAGATGCATATTGTGATGTCGACAGTCTTGTTGCTGATCGCAGCTCTTTGCATTTGGCACATTGGGACCACATGAGAAATGAACAAGTCAACAGAATTATAAGAATACAGATTGCTCCTCACACTGTCTCTGCTCGCTTTGTCTCTTGCTGTGAGGCTGTAGGATTCAAAGCATGTCCCATAAAGCTGATTGGAAGCGCTGACACTGACTACTAAGATAATTGGCACTGTGACAGCGCTGTCAGATAGTGGAGTGGGTGGTGCATCGCTGGAATTGATCAACACACGGAGAGATGGTGCCACTCAATACAATAAAGCAGCTCTTAGATGAAAATTATTGCACTTTAAAGGCTGAGAGGTTAGATGATTTATTACAATGAGCTGTTGTCATTTTGAGTCGTTATGTATTGCATTGCTGTCATGCGATACTTAGCTCTTTGCAATTTACTGAGCGACCACCTTGGGCCCCGGCGATGTACACTGGGTTTTAATGGGACCTCTTTGAGGGACGGCCCAGGATACAGTCACCCTCCTGTAATTGGGATTCCTATTAAAGTTTGAATGAGAATCTCTTCTTCTTTGTCTGTTGTGGCTCTGCGAGGTAATTAAGTAAAAGGAAGGACGCGTGTTCAGTAGGTTGGGCATTTATCGTGTCATTTATCATTTATTGTAATAAATTTCTTATCAGAGTTTTGATTTATTGTTGTCGCGATAAATTCCTACTTTATAATGTTTAAAACCCCCCAAAACTGTCCATATTGCTATGATTGACAACTTTACTATTTTTCCTGCTGTTTGTCTATTGAAAGTATCAATGAATGGCAAGAAATGTGAAAACACAGTGGCCATGTGTAGTTTAGCGATACGAATCACAGGTGTTGTAAAGAAGCACATTACAAATGGGAATCTTTTCCAAGAGCGTTATTTGTGTTTGTGGGGCAATGATTGCTGTGGCGCACAGCCATACAGTTACCTGAAAAAGGATGTGATGAATAGTTCTTATTGTCCCTTTTATTGTTATCACAACACTATTGCAAAATATCGTGATAAAACCTTCAAGTCTGCATCACCCACTGCTAGTGTTGAGCGTTTTTTATAAGCCTGTTTTCTGCTCCTCAGGGTCGTGGCGGTTTGGGCTCCATATTCGTGTGGGCCTCTGGGAACGGAGGAAGGGAGAAGGACAGCTGCAACTGCGACGGCTACACCAACAGCATTTACACTCTGTCCATCAGCAGCACCACGCAGAACGGCAACGTCCCCTGGTACAGCGAGGCCTGCTCCTCCACCCTCGCCACCACCTACAGCTCGGGGAACATCAATGAGAAACAGATTGTGAGTTGGGGCTGAGGGTAGCGCGTCCTCTGCGTTTGTCGGCCTTGTCATGTTTCTGTCGCACGAAAGCTCTGACTTTACTTTGAGCTCCTCCATCCTTTCTCTGCTGACTGGTTTCAAAGAGGACCTGCTGTCATTCCTGAAATATTTGACCAGATGGAGGCTTTGGATTTAAAAAAAAAGTTATAATTACATTTTTTCCTTCAGTAACTGGATAAATAAAAAAAAATGTTCCAGCTACAAGGCACTTAGTGTGAAGCCTTCAATAGTGCAGAAACTGAAGTTTGAACTTCCCTCTCCCAGAGATATTAACAGGTAATATTCAGATATTAACAGGGAACACAAACTGTTTTTGTCGCTTTAGCCTGTGAACTTGTTTGGACTGTTTCAGTCTAGACAAAAAAATTTTTTGTGAGGTGATTGCTTTGTCTTCATTTTTCGTGGAGATATTGAAAGCAGATGTCCACACTTTGTGTGTTTAAATATTTTCTCTGCTTGTTTTCCCCCATAATGAATTGCTGAGTGACCACGTTTCCATATTTTCGACCACTTCGGTGTTTGAGAAATCTGAATAACCAGAATTCTTTTTCAGTGAGTCAGACGCTTTATCCGCCATGTTTGTTTTGATACTCTTGGTCAGGGGAGCTAAACACAGCTGATGTGTGCAGCACACACAGACGCACACAGATTCTGCTGCGGACTTCAGACAGGGAACTATCTTCACACACAGTAATTTGGGGGGAAAAAAGTTTGACCTATGTTTAAATGTTAAAAAGACAAACGGATTGTTTTTCATCTGCATCTTTGATTACCCTGCTGTAAGTTTGCAGTCTAGTCCTATTCGCTACCAGAGCCAGAGATTAAACCTCAGATTGTTTCTCTGTCTGCAACAAAATTAAACAAGGGTGTTGCTCTTCTGAGGATGTTTAGAGGACGATGCAGAGAAGCACAATCACTGGGGAAAAGTTGTTTTTCCTCTAAATTGAAAGGAGTGATTCCAAATGGGTTCAGGCATCCAGTAGACCTGACATTTCTTAGCTTAGGAGTGTCCAAATTGACTGGCAGGAAGCAAATGTAGACAGATTATATCTGTTGAATGTCTTGGAAATGCCTCAGTGTCCCTTCGGAAAAGCAGGGTTTGCCTAAACCGGATTCAAATTTCAAGACAGGCAAAAATGGATGGATGAAGAATGCAAACTGATGTACACTTGACATGTCATCGGTATGGATAAATAAATGATTTTGAAAAAAGATATTGAGATAAGTCAAGACTTTAATGATCAAATTTGGTCTGGTTGTTGCTAATTTTATGATTGCTGCTGAAAGGGAGGAACTAGAGAAAATACTATAAATGTACATTTATAATTAAGCATGGTTTTCCTGTTTAATGTAATTCTTAACAGTAGAAAATACCTACTCATTTTGAAATCAATCACTTTGGATATTTACCTTATTGGCAAGTAAATTGAATTATTAACTGATTATTGTTTTTTTGTTTTTTTTAGTACATTAACCCATCATCAAATTGATTGCAGCAGCTTTTTCTCCATTTCAACTAACAGTTAATTGTTGCATTTGCCACACACCTTTTTTTCAGACCTCGTGCTGCTTTGAGTCATTAAAAAGTTCATAGCAAACTGCTGGAGCTCTATCCATCAAATCTGTTTCTGCTTAACATTCTTGTGACAAGCATTAAATCTCTTTCTTACACATGCAGACACACCAATACACACACGCACAAACTGCCTCTTTATAGCATGCAGCCATGCAGCGTGAAGAGCTTGACAGGCAGCCGATGACAACTTCATGACATGTGGCTGGTCCCGTAATGTGTCTGTGATGCACCGACTTAATTATGATGCCACTCATGAACTTTAAAACAAAGAGCTGGAGAAGAGGAGAGATGTTGACATCTGTGAGGCTATACCAGAGAGAATATTTTGATCTTAAGATTTTTTGTTTTGTTTTGGAAACCAAACTAGAAACCAAATGAAGCAAGGGGGAGCTTCTAGAAATATCAAAACTATCCCAGTTTTTATTATTTAGAATAATCATTCTATAAAGCCTGTGGAAATATCTCCTGCTTTTATTTTATCGGTCTTGTTCAGTAACAGACAGACCTCTTCTTTTGCATCATCCTGCAGGACAGCAGGCTTTTCATATGTAAGTCTTCTGACATATGAAAAGTCTTTTTTTTTGTATCATTGGAGACAGACTTTTCTTTGAAAAAAATTCTCTGCTTCTGCAGCAACTTACTTTTTATTCTTGTGGTGGGAGTTATTAACATCTGGGAGCTGGCCAATGAATCCACAACCCTCCTCTGTGGATCACTTAGGGGATGTCTGCTGAAGCAGTTCATTCCAAAAGGAGTCTCTCTTAAAGAGAAGGAGAGCACATGCTTTCCACGGTTTGATTTTCTAGCTGGCGGCTTTTTACTTTTAACCTTCTGCTTCTTTATGCGTTTGATGATTCTTGCCTCTAGCAAATACAAGCAGTATGGGATAACATATGAGAATCTGGTGAGGAGTAAAGGATTTTATTCATTTTACTGAGGCCAATTCCACGTTATCTGGTTATTTGAAGGGAATCCTGCAAATACATTTTTAATGCGCAAGTCGGCTTGTACGAATGTTTAGCGTCAGTATACTTATTATAAAGTATACTTGCACTATCTTGCCTGAATGCATTTAGATTTATAAAACCATACTACATATTGTTTCAAATTCAAAGTTAACCAAAATACATAAAGCAGTTTTCAAATGATGATTTTATTCATTAGACTCATTCATTAGACTCAAAGTTTTCCAAAGTAACCTGGCCCTTTTTGAAAAATTAGTTGCCACTTTTTTAAACCTTTAACTGTGATTAGCAACATTGATTACATTTCCCGGGCCACACCCAGACTTTTTGTTTTTGTTTTGTAGGCCTTCATAATAATAAAGAAAAATACTTGAATATAAACTTTCTGGCGACATGAAGTAGGCTAAAGGATCTTAAAACGCAAGATGTCACGCACTCATCTAAAGAAACATAAGATCAGATCAGAAACCTACTCATTGATATCTGTTAGTTCAGAAAGGGTTGCAGAGTCTAAGCCTCTAACAGTGGCCAAAATTACTCCAAGGAGCAATTTGGATTCAACCAGGAAGTCACAAAAGAACCAGAAAAACATCTAAAGCACTGCGGGCCTCATTTGCCTCAGTTAAGGTCAGTGTTCATGATTCAATAATACGAAACAGACTGCGCAAAACGGGCGTCCAGGGAAGATTTCCAAAGTGAAAACCACTGCTTAGTGAACACTAACAGGCATCTTGGACCTGAGAAATGCTTTTTTGATTCCTAAATGTTCTGTGGACTGACCACACAAAAGAAGAACTTAATGGAAACGGTGTGCCTCGTTACATATGGCGTAAAACTAAAGACAGCTTTTCAAGAAAAAATACATTAACATGACAGTCAAACATATTACTGAGAGTGTAATGATCTGTGGCTTTGTTGCTGTTTCAATATGTGGATGACTTGCCAGAGTTGATGGATCCTTTAATTACTATCAGAATGTTCGCTCATCGCTTTGTCACCTTAAAATCAAGCACACTTGGGTTAAGCAGCAAAACGGTAATCTGAAACACACCTTTAGGTGGGTAGCTCAAATATGTGACGGTTTTAAAATGGCTTAGTCAAAGCCTAGACCTACATCTGATTGCTTTGGTGTGGAATGACTTTTGAACCAAGTATGACCAGGCCATCACTTATGGAAAAGCTTCTGAAGTAAAATAACTACAACAAGAGAGAGTCATAATTTCTCCACAGTGACGTAAAAAATCTCGTCTGTCATCATAAACTCTTGATGCCTGTTGTTGCCAACACAGGTGGCGCAACCGGTTTTTAAAGAAGACATTTTATGCTGGTTCTCTGTGTTAGTTAAATTTAGTTTGAAACTTTTAAGTGAGAAAAAAAAAAAAAAAAACCCCGAAGCAAATGTAAGGCGGCTAATATATTTTCACAGCACTGTCAGAACGGAGCAATCTGTTCAGCTTTTCGCTTCTCTTCCTTAGATAACAACAGACCTCAAATCCAAATGTACCGACTCTCACACCGGCACCTCTGCCTCCGCCCCACTGGCTGCTGGGATCATCGCTCTCGCCCTAGAAGCCAAGTAAGTTCTTATCACCACTTTTTTATGAGTTTGGATCGTGAGCTGCACTGACTCAGATTTACTTGATTCAAATTAACCTAATGCACAAAAAGGGGAAAAAAATAAAAAAAATGTATACACAACGAGCTCGTTAAGTTGTGCATTCATTTTTATAGGGACAGTTTGAGAGTTTTTAGTTCGAGTAAATTAGATTTCAAAGCAGCTTGAATTAATGGCCACGCGTTATCAGTTCCTGCCATGTGGCTCGAAAACTCCCGATAGGAAATGCTTCATTAAAGAAAGTGTGAATATTTCAAAGAGTAATAAAATGATACGTTTTAAAAGCCTTCGTGTTGGATTAAGTCACCTCTGCTGGTGTTGCCAGCGTTCATTCTAATGCTGTTTTTAAATTTTTTAAAATTAAAATATAAAGTTATTTAAGCCGTTTGCCGCTTATTTAAATTGTGCTTTTACAAATAGCTCGGAGCACTAATCATTCTTATCTGGTCACCCAGCACTAATGGACGGTCATAAAATATGTTCAGCACAAGGCTGGATGTAAGTAATTAGTCTTGCAGCAGAGTGAAATGATTGAGGGGGAAAACTGTAGATGGAAATGAATTTGATGAGAAAGGGTTTATTTAGCTGGGGTTACTTTGTAAAATGCCGTCATTTAAGCCAAATCCACAGTAAAAAGCAATAATGAATTTAAAGCTTGTATGAGGTTAATGAAAGGGAGACAAATCGGGCTCTGACTGTGTTTACCCCTTTTTTTTGCCAGTTAAATCTTAGTGTTCTCCAGGAAAGAATAACTCATCAGTTTTTCTTTTGTTTTGCCAAAGGGCTGAAATGAGCCTCAAACCACATGTTGGCTGAAGATGTAAGAGACTACCTGGACACTGAGCTCATTGTTTATAATTATCTGTCCACCTGCAAGTTAAAACTGTAGCCTGATCTTTGGGAGCTTCAGCTTTCTTTACAAGCTAGAGTGTGTATTATTATACATGTTAGCCTGTATGTGCCGTTTTTACGTGCCAACATCCATTTCCATTTGCTCCAGTAAAAACCTCACCTGGAGGGACATGCAGCATCTGGTTGTGCGAACTTCTCGGCCTGCTCACCTGCTCGCCAATGACTGGAGAACCAATGGAGTTGGACGCAAAGGTACAGAAATATAATCTGTTTTTGTTTGGTCAGTTTTAAATCAATCACAGGTTGGTTCGAGTTGCTTCTACTTTTCAGAGAGGTATGATGAAATGTGGGTTTGATAAGAGAGTTGGAGAGGAAATAGCCATATTCGTTCACATGATATGAGGCTGGATGACTCCCAATGGGGTCAAGAAAAACGATGGCAGCAGGTGCTTTGCACCTTATGATTCAAAAATTAAAATATCTGGCTGCAGCTGAAGGCAGTTTGTTCACCAAATGGTCAGAGAGCAGTACAGTAATGAGTGTCTGTAGCGAAGCATGGTGCTTGTTCCTTACAAGTTTAGTCACAATATTTGGTGGACTCAAGGCTGACAGATGCAGTAAGATCATCATGGATTGTCCAATTCCATCAGGAAGGCACAGAAGAGCTGAGAAAGCTTACATCCACAGTAAATCTGTGGTTAGTTCTTAGAGGTGTTTGAAACAATCGTGCCATAGTCTTTTGTTTATAATCAGTTAAAAGTAAAACATGTTGACGGAAGTGCTGCACAGTTAAACCAAACATAAGAAATAAATCACACAGGAACAGCGGATGTTATGAAGAGAAAAAAAAAATAGTCAAGGATTAGAACAAGTAGGACAGAGAGGAAATGAATTTGAAGACGCTGTCAGTAATTCACACTGGATTAAAAGTCAGAGATTTAGAAACCATAAGAAAATGTACCTGCTTGATACAAAACCAAAGCCTTCCACAGTTTTGGATCTCCAACAGGAAAATCTCTACGTCCTCTGAGGTTTCATCACATCTCTGGAACATATAAAAGCATCTGGTCTTCTGACCTGAGGGAATGAGACGGTACATTAGAATGCAACGGTTCAGACAGATAAAATGGAGCACAACTGTTAAGAGGCTTAAAAAAAAAAAAAAAAAAAGGAAATGCAGTGAAAAAGCCAGGGAAGGGGTGCCAAAAGAGGAGAAACAGGCTCTCTCTCTATTTTTTATTTTAATTTTTTTGCTTGTACCAGTTAAAAATCAACTGCAGGCATTTTCTCCCAGTTGCAAATGAAACATGGAAAATGGACTAATTACACAAAGAAGCATTACAGTAATCAAGACACAGTCTTATAAAAGCAAGATTAGTGTTTCGGTGTTTCATCAAGAGAGAACACACACTCATCACTGACAACCAATTAAACTGGAAAAAACAGGATTTTACCAGTGCATTTAACGTGACTATCGAGTCTAAGAAGACTCCATTCTCACACCTCAATATTTGATTTACTCCAGTGAGGTTTGGGAGGCACAGCTGAAGCATTTGCTGGTGAGACTGAACCTGAACAGCCTGACGCAAGTGTTGTTGTGATGAAGACTGAGAAATCCGATTCCAATTATCTCCTGATATCAGAGCAGTCAGCAAAGATATTTAGGGGACAGAAAACCTGGCAGTCTTCAAAGAAATGAAAAGATTTGTTATGATTCTGGTGAGAAAACGGAAAAAAAGACCTGATCTGACAAAGGAGCCTTGTGGCACCTCCAAGGCAAATGTAAAAGGTTGGTGATGCATCAAAAAGACAGGATCTTTGATGTCCAACCAATGCTTTAGCCTAGAGATGATGATCTTTTGATCTACGATGCCCAAAAGTGCAATTAATGCAACAAAAGTCTTCATGCTGAAAAGACACGCTAAAACGTGACCATGGAACGAGAACTAAAAACGTGTATCGAGTTGAAATCTGTGTCTAAAACTGGACCAGCGCAGACCTTCAGGACATCTCTGAAAATCTCATCTCTGTTCTCTCTTTGTTTCTGCAGTTAGTCATTCATATGGATACGGTCTGCTTGATGCCAGTGCAATTGTATCACAGGCGAAGACATGGACAAATGTGGGGCCACAGAGAAAGTGTGTGATCTCCATTCTCACTGAGCCGAGGTTTGTATGCTGTACATGACCACAGGTCTCGCCGTGCTGAGTTCGTTTGAACATTTCAGTTAATAAACGTTTAAAAAATGATCCATCTGACAAAAGTAATAATGAGCAAACTAATTTCAAACAACAAATCTGTTATTAGCAGATGTACAAGTTAGCCAATTTTCATAGTAGGTGTGATTCAGTAAAATGTGCTCCTGGGGGCACTTACTGTATGTAGCATTATGTCTGTATTTTGTATTGATCACAACATTTGCAGTAAAAAGGATGAAAGCGAGAGTAGCTGCACGTAGACTGAATTAATATGACTGCTTTGGAGAATAATCAACAAAATTTCAATGGAGTAGAATCGGCGTGGAAAACAGTCCCAGGGTTTTGTTGAATCAGTCAAGTTTGTGAAGCTGTAATGCATGTGAATGAGATGTCTGTGTCTGATTGAGCCTTCATGCATCAGTTCAGTGAAATGTTGTGCCTTCATCTTCATCAACCTGGTGGCATTCATTAAAACCTCCGCCGACATTCGTCGGCTCAGGCTTCTCCCAATTACATGTTCTGTATTATTCTTCAGCCCCTCTTCCTGATGACACAGACTAAACTCTGTGTGACATGCTCTGTTCATTACGCCGTCATTCGTCTCGCTGGGTTTGAGCAGATGGTCGAGAGTCTGGGAGCTGCAGGTTATTCAATTTACATTCTAGGTTTTTAGCTGACTCGCTTATCAACAGTGATTTGCAAAAAATGATTAGAAGAAGGAATTATCCTGTTACCAATGGTACATTCAGTACATGCTAGCAGTGCTGTGCGAACAGAGTTGTATCTGATTAAAATGTCTGTTCGCACATAATTGCAGGGATTTATCTCAGCCACAGATAATGATGTACTTGTGTAATAGATAACACATCAAAAAGGCTTCTTAATGTTTTGCAGAATCACATCAGTTTGTTGCTCTGCTATCTAAAATCTGTGATTCGGACAGCTTCCGTGTTCATGTTTGGAAAATAGATTTTTAACCAAGGAGAAAATGCTACTAAAACTCCTCTGAGCTTTCCCCCCCGACTGAATAAGGTTGGATTTGTTATAAGCTGAATTTCATGCCCTCTTCGTGACCTCAGAATGTGTTATGAATTTATGGGTTTATCCATTCTGTTACTGAGAATTTAACATGCTGATTGCAAGTAATCATGAGTAAAAAGAGAGAGAGAGCATTTTNAGAAAAGAGCAGGTGGATGATCTGGAAGCTCTCTGGGATCTTTTCAACAGATGATTTATAGTCTCGATACACTCTCCTGTTTCTCCCAGGTTACCCCGTCGCAGCATCACAAAGCCTCACGTTTGGTTGGCTCAAAGAATTGTCGTTTGTTTGCTAAGATAAATCTTACAAACAAGAATTAGTTTCTGGCTGATACCGATTTCTGTCTGTTCAGGCCTGATCTGCTGCTTTTCATTTGATTGATTACATTAAAAAAAACAACAACTCTTTAACACAAGAAGAAGGGAGAAAAAAAAAAAAACTTCATATATTCAATATTTGCTTTATACCTCATATTGAATTCCCACCATTTGGTACCATTATGACAAGAGTCGGTGTTTTAAAGCCCCAACATAATGTCAAGCGTCATTATGTTGGGGCTTATTCATATCCACCACGTCCATTAAGGGTGTAATTACTCCCACTGACAGAAGAGGGAGACAGAGGTGTTGCCTTTGGGGAAAACTGCTCAAAAAGGGTGATTATTAAAAAAAAAAAAAAAAAATCGTGGTTGGAAAATAACTATATAAAACAACCTTAATGAGCCCTGCCGGTAATCTAGTTTATTTATACAGCACTAAGTTACAGCAGATGGCATCTCTAGGCACTTTAAAAATTCATATGCAATTACTGTATGCGCAATCCAGTTCAGTCCAAAATCAGTAAAAATCTGTTTAGTTTATAGCAGTGAAAATACAGTACAATGATCCTAATTATTGTACAATACAGATGGCCAGTTTACTTTTATGCTAATGGGTACTTGATCAAAATCAAGCAAATGTACATTATATATATTGATCCATGTTCCAGTTATTGTGAATCAAAGACAGCTTTAAAACAGGTGGGTTTTTAAAACAGGATTTAAGGGAACTCTGTGTGAGTTTAAGTGTCTAAGCTTTTAGCATCATTTACAAATTTAGACAATTTGTAGAGGAAGCATGTGGTGACAGTGGAAAATAGCTGTTTTATGTTAATTAGGATCTCAGGCCCTGTGTGCGCTGTCATTGGTTGCAGCAGACTTTGATGACTTTTGTAGACCCAGTATCCTAAATGACATGCAGGTTACAGATCTGGTTTGAAAATAAATTGTGCATTTTATTTTTTTTTCTGGTTTTAAGAAACTAATTACAGGTTACAGAGCTGCATTTTATCACTCCCCCACTGCGCTTTAAGTTCAGCTTGTAGATGTCTTTTCCGAAGTAAAGCTGCTTTACCGGGTCAAAGGTGTTTTACTGCAGGTGATCCTTTAATGGAGATTAAAGTATGTGTACATGTTTGGGCCGAAACTAGAGGCAGGCTTTGTTTTTGAGGCAATATGTGAGGTTTACGAATGGCTGTTGAAAGATGTTCACATCTGTGGATCCGGAGCCCGGTGCTGCGGTCCTCCTCAGAACGGTTGTGGATGTGTCTAATCTCCTAAGAGGATTTGAGGTGAAGGAAAGAAAGAGTGTTTGATGCTTTACCCGCCTGAGAACAGCGGTGCTACAGGTTCTAAGGCATTAATCCTCTTCACCCTTCACAGTCCCTCTCAGCAGCCAAATCTTACTCCGTTTTCTAATTCGCGACAAAAGAAAAACTTTAATTAAAAGAAAAAAAAAAATTAAAAAAATCCAACGAAGCAAAGATGATGTTTGTTCCTGACCGACTCTGTTGTGGCCCCACAGGAACATTGGCAGCCATTTGTCGATTGACAAAAACGTGGACGCCTGCCTGGGTTCAGACAGCTATGTGACCTCATTAGAGCACGTCCAGGCCCGGCTCACCCTCACTTACAACCGGAGGGGGAACCTGGCCATCCACCTCATCAGTCCCGCCGGCACACGCTCCACCCTGCTCCACCCGAGGTACGAGCGGCGCCACAATATGGACGCATTCAGTCCCAGTGGACAAACCTTTTAACGCAGTTGCTTCCTTGGTTCCCTGCAGGCCTCATGACTATTCGTCAGAGGGTTTCAACGACTGGGCGTTCATGACCACCCACTCCTGGGACGAAAACCCCAGCGGCGTGTGGAGACTGGAGATTGAGAATGTCGCTGGCGCCAGTGACTACGGTAAAACAGATTTCTTTCTACTTGTAAAATCTGATTTATTTGATTTATAGGAATCAACCATACTAAGTAAGATTAACACAAGATTAGTCAAAAGAATATATTCATCTTTGCAGGAACCTAACAAAATTTCTGCATTTTGCATTAAATCAAAATAAGAAATAGGAGCAATTATAATTGAAGATGAATGGCTTGATGCATGTAAAATTCCTATAACTATACCTCAACGTCACTATTTTTATTTTTTTTATTACACCTGAAATCAAGCAAAACGCCAATTGTTGAAGGGGATGTGGAAACCATATGGCAGATCACATTCATGTTTTTTGGGATTGTCAAGTTCTCCAGCCTTATTGGCAGGAGTCGGCTAGCATGATTCACTTAATTATTATTCAGAATATAGAATATGGTTTTTACTCCACATACCTGGGAGTATGTGTAGTAACTAATTTAGCAGACAAATATTTGACAAAACTAACGTTTTGCAATTATGAGTAAATGGCAAAATAAGGGCCCTGCAATAAAAGAGGAATGAATTGGAATCATTAAATACATTGATGAAATGTATAGAATGACCTCTTCAGTGAATTTACGTGTGGAAGGATTCTTTAAAAATTGGACGAAATGGAATACAAAGTTTTGCATACAGAGTAGTATTTGTCTCTGAAACCCAAGTATAGGGAGGTTTCAGAATGAATTGAATAAATGCAAAGATGAGATTTGTGACTTGACTTGAGTTGTTTTTTATTTTTTCCATGTGTAAAAATAATTTTAAAAAGTACAAAAAAATAGGCCTGACAGCCATTATTTAAGATTCTTTAACTCATTGTAATTTGTTGTGTCTGGACCTCGGCTAAGAGGGTCAAGGTTCACTGCAAGGCGATTAGAGATCAAGTGGCTCTTGAAGCCGAGGTCCCTTTGCTCTCTCTGTCTTTGCGCTAGTTTAAACTGCGTTGCCTTACAGCAGCCAGTTTACCTGTTGATTTCTGTTCTTCTGCATGAGAACACCGAAGTAAACAACTTGTGGGTGTTTTCATTATACTGAAACGCCTTTCTGCATCATTTCTGGGAGAATGTCAGAAAAAAAAAAAAAAACATCGAAGGAAGGATGCACCTTTGATTTCTTAGCTCTAAGCTCCTCCTGAAGCCTCCTTTGTCCTCATCTCCTCAAGGTGCTTTTAAGGGATTGAAAGATGGCTCAGGATCGTGGGCAGGGAACAATTTCTAGGTCACCAGTGCAAGGAGGACTCGAGGCAGCATAAGTTAAAGCAAAAAGGTGTTTTTATGTTTGCCTTTGGATTTGACATCCAACTCTCAATGCTTAATAAACAAAGCTGCTTCACCCACGACTCGATAAACAACCAGAAAAAGGTCCATTAGTCCAGAGTTATTCACTAAAGTCTTACCATTTAGTCTTTTTGTGTGCAGATCCTTTCAGTAACTGAACTTAGTCACAGAGAGGGGCTGCTCTGTTGAAATGTGTCGCAGAGTCATGTTCTGTCAGGAATATCAAGAGAATACAATTACCAGAATCCCCCGGGATGCGCGGGAGCCTTACAGCTTCTGACAGGCCTACTTCTAATTTCTGTTTTTATCTCCTCATCTCATTTTAGGCACCCTGACCCAGTTCACCCTGGTGCTGTACGGCACGGGCTCACCATCCTCCAACTCCTCCGAACAGCCCCAGTGCAACAACGACATATGCAAGACTTTGGATCTGAGCATGAAATGCATCGGTAAGACCCGCCATCTTCCCTCCAGGTTAACTCCTCGCAGGAAGTCGCAGCAGTCAGAGGGTGGATAGAACAGATAAAAGGAAGCGCGTTGGTGTGAAAGCCCCAACATGCGATAGCTTGTGCTCAGCTGCACCCGCCCGCTTGGCGTTTCTACAGCAGCTTCACTCAGATCTTCTCCGCACTCCTGCCAGTGTGGGGCCTTGACCTCATCGTCAGTGTTTTAAATGAATAGCTAACCTCTGATGAGATCAGATAATCTTCACCTCAGGTCTCTTAGCTAATCTCATTTTAATTTAAAGCTCTTCTCCGCTCTTCCCAATACAAATATTGCTACGGGCGAGGTTTCATGCTCCCAGTGAGCCCAGTCTGAATCCAGCTGCATGTTGACGGAGGTGGATACAGTCTGACCCCTACAGGCCATCTGAGGATCATGCATGCTGGCACTCGAGTGCTGACTGAATGCAATTATCGCGCATTTGAATCATCTCAGACAGAACGTTATGATAATTACGTATCTCCGGAACAGAGTTCTGCATGGCAGCTGAATCACAATTATGTTGTTTTCTTCCCCTAGATGCTAAAATGCCGCCGTGTTCAAGCCAAATTTTTTTCAGCTCTGTTACTTTCACTTTGCTGATGATCATTGTAGGCAGTGATCTGTACCTGGACCGGCTTTATTTGGGAATGTCTCTGCTGTCTTTGCATGCTGCACTCAGAAGGCAGCAAATGTTTTCACCGAAATAAGAAAAAGAAAATCTAAACCAAACAGCCCAAGAATTAATTGAACTGAAGACAAACGCACTTTTGGTTTATTTCTTCGAAGGTGTGAACTTGAGTCAAAATATCTTAATAGCCTTTTTACTAATCAAATTTAAATTTTTGCGGAAATGACCCAAAGCGATACCTATTCTTGATCCTGGTTTTAAAAACAAATGCTGAAAAATATCGTCATATTTACCCAGTCTGAAGTGACATCCTGACTTTTCTCTAAAGAACATCTTAAACATCAGTTCTATTAAAAATGATTAAAAGCTGTTAAAATAGTAAGTACTAGAAAAGCAGCAAATCTTTACGTTTATTTAGAATTTGTGAAGTAAACAGGAGGCCATGTCAGATGTTTCTTTTTGCAAATAACTTGGATGAAACCTTCAGCAAACAGTCACTTTATAGTAGCAGTAGTGTAAATAAACAAAAACCATTGCTTCAGTAGGATGCTTGTAACCTGAAGTGAAAAAGGACAGAATATTTCTAACATTATATTTGTTTAATATTTAATATGCACTGATTTATTAATTCAGGTTTGGACTTTCACTGACATCAGGTCAATTTACTAACATTCAAACTTATTGCTACTTTGTCCTTTCCTACTATCATTTTCTACCCCTAAAGAAACCATTTTGTTCTTAAACTAAGATGTATCTGTTTATTTTTATTGGCAGTGAAGCATTTGTATTAATTGTGGAGCTGGCTTGACATCAAAATGCTCAAATTGTATTTTATTTGAAACCTTGTACTACTGTCTGTTTCCATTTATAATAGTTGATGCTAAACATGACTGCAGATTAAAACAAAATATCCTGAAGTGACTAATAGCTGTCACATAAGCCATTACCTCATAGCAGAATATAAATAGTGTTTGACAAATGAGTTTAGAGTTAGACCGTCTGTTCTCAAAGCGGCTATGAAACATGCACCTGTCGGCACAAAGTAATGGCTGTTCAGCACGAATTGTCTTGTGACAAACAATAAAATCTCATTCAACAAAGTTGAACGACTAAATCTGCAAAGGCACGAAATGACTAGTTCCTCCTTCCCTCCCTACTTGTTCTGGGAAATAACTACGGCTCCAGTGGTTGGCTGGTCCAGTTTCGACGAGTCGGCTTCTTTACACAGTTTCAGTTTCTTCCTTATAAAAACGTTTTCTGGGTTCCAAACAGCAACATTTAAACACGATTTTGTTCCAGCACCTACCACTCAGATAAACGGGTTATATAGCTTTTCGTGTTTCCTTCTAGTAAACTTTTTTTTTTTATCCACTTCTGCTTCCATTTTGTCATATTTGTTCTCTGGGGTGTATGTTGAAATGTATGTCTGGGGACCGTTGGCTAAAATCAACCTATGGTAACAAATAGCTGCATCCTAAATGCACAAAGGAGCCTTGTCACAGATCCTTCCTCCCAGCAACTATTAGACTCTACAGCCATCAACAAAATCAATAAGTATTTAAATACTTATTGATGTTTGCACGTGTTGGTTTTAACATTTTAGGAACTTTTTTTTTGTGTGAACCTTTATATCTGATGGTGCTGTTGCATCTCGATTTCCCCTTTGCGGAACAATAAAGGCCATTTCTACTCTGTTCTAATAAATACACTGACCTGACTTGGAGTCAAATCACTTGTTGAAAACTAAAAATACTCTGTAATGTGACCACTTGTTTAACTGAAGTTTAATGTTTAGAACTTGAATGAGAACACTTGAGACTCATAAATTAATGACTGGCCCCAGCTCTGTAGGTTTTTTTTATTCCTTATTTTTGGCTGCTCTGACTCACCAAAGAGGGCAAATATTTACAGCAGCTGCTGATTTCACTTTCTGTTTCTCTCGCCGCCACAGAGTGCAACCCTGGCTACTACCTCTTTCAGCAGGGCTGTGTGAAAGAATGTCCTGCGGGCTTCGTGGTGGGCACGCAGCCCCTCAAATACGCGGTGGGGAACTACATCCAGCCAGCTTCCGTCCTGGCCTGCCTGCCGTGCCCGTCGCCCTGCGTCACCTGCAGCAGCCTCAGCCCCCCGTTCTGCCTGACCTGCCCCGATCACAGCTCCCTCGACCAGATCTCGGGCACCTGCCTGCGCCTCAACCACTCCATGCGCGAGTCGCCGGGGGCCTTCATGGAGGAGCGGAAGCCTTGGTTCAAGCGCGACTCTCAGCTGCCCATCACCGTCGCCGTGCTCAGCTGCATGGCCATCATCACGACCTTCGCAGGCGTCTTCCTGATGCTGCAGCTGCGCTCCGGCGCGCTCATCAAGCTGCCCTCGCTGGAGGCCGGCGGCGGCTTCACCCTGAGGGGGGGCAGGGTGGTATCGTACCGCGGCATCCCGACGGTTTGGGGGGACGACGGACTGAACACCGACTCAGAAAATGAAGAGTTCGACGTCCATAACGAGAGAACTGCCTTTATCAAAACACAAAGTGCTCTTTAATGCCTTCATAAGTCCCTCCTCCTCCTGCTCTACTTTTAAACTCCTCTCCTCTCCATCTGTCCGACACTTCAGGGCTGTTCGCTGTGCTCAGTCTCATCCGCACATACACCCAGTTAATTTTATTCTTTCTATCTTATCAGATCCTCATCTGCTTTTAGGAACTGGCCTCACTTGGTTGTGGGAGCCTTGATGGGAAGCTGCTGTTTTTGAAAGCTGGGGACGGCCTAAGCTTTTCGCTCTGTTCACACTTGGCTGCATTTCTGTTCAGGTGTCTCCCTCCTCCAAACCTCCGATCACTAACAGCATCTGTTGGTGCAGAGTTCATTTCCCTCCAGCTCCTCTTTGTTACAGTAAACAATTGCTTATCATTTACTGCGTCTCCCTGCTTTTTTCCCCTCCTCCCTTTACCTTCCATTAGTCTCAGTGCAGTAGCCAGATGAGATTTTTGAATGTGAGAGTAAGAGATGATTTTGTGTGCGTGTGCCTTTCTGAATGAATGAGCCTGCATAACAAGGGGTGTCGAGATCTGATGAGCAGCATGGAGCGTCGCGCCCCTAGTTTAAAGCGCTTCCTGTCGTTTATTATTTTAGCTGATGACAAACTGACGGTTATTAAAGAGGCATTCACTTAAAAACACTTATTCTCTTCGCAGTGTTTGTTCACATCAGGATACGAAACCAGCGCAGCAAAATCCAACGTTTTAGCAGGGAGTCTCGCTACTCGAGCGCATTCGAATCAAAAGCATAACTAGTGATAAGAATTTATATTGAATAGTTTAAAAAGCAAGAAATAACTAAAAGAAATTACTAAAAGAGATTACAGCCTCACATTTTCTGCACTTTAGGACAAAAAAAAAAAGCCAAAGAAAAATCAAAAGATAAGAATCTCAAACACTCAACCGTAGATGTTTAATGGCTGCATCTGATGCACCTGTCCTCAGGGGTGAGAGGTCAATCAGCCGAGGCGCCGCCGCGCGTGTGTGAGCCTCAAAGCAGCTGGCAGGTGTTGACTTACCTGTGATTGATTCCTCGACTCAGCCGACGCCGTAACAATACATCAAGGCTCTCCCCTGCTGTCAGAGCGAATCAGCCCCACAAACACCGGCCTCTTGCCGTAACGACTGGATGCGGCTTCGTGCGTCAGGATGTAAAGTGTCACCTGACTCACCTGGCCTCTGAAGCGATGGTTTCTTCCCTCCGCTCTCGGCTCCACTCTCCAGATCTCGAGTATTGATTAAAGCCCCACGTTGACGCTCCTCGGCTCATCAGTGTCTCTGCACTCCAATCCTCATCCAATCAGAAATTCAAATTCTCATCAAGTCGGCGTACTTTATACTCCAGATGATACTACAGCGAAGAGATTTTATTAATATCATTTCTCTTTAAGTGATATCAGTTTTTTTTCCTTCCTGAGCTGTAATCATATGAAATAAGCATCTTGTTGTTTAATCCATTATAGCCATGTTGATTTTTGTTTTCTTCCTTTTTTTTTTTTGTTTAAATTTCTGCACAAGAAATGCTGAAGCTTGTTGGGAGAGGTTTTCAGATGATGGCGTGCACAGAAAACTGCAGCTGCTCATCATTTTATCTACCTCTCATATCCCACAGCGAGGCTTCGTAGACTCTTAGAGGAGCTGTTAATTACAGAGGTAAATTTAAATGTGGGTTAAGGCATGAAAATCTTCTCTGTGGTGATTTAGGTGACGGGGTGTGCGTGCTGAATTCATGTTTTAGAAGGGAAAGGGTGAAAGTAAATCAGAAACTGTCAGCTCCACTTTCCTGGAAACTCCTCTGTTCTCTTAAATGCGTTGCCTTTGAGGACCGGCATCATGCGTGGTCACACGTGGGCTTTAAGTTGACATGTTCACAGATGAAAATGGCTGGCATTCAAGTGCTAAATCAACCTTTAAACCAACAGGGGCGTTTCTGCTCTCCATCTCTAATGGGGCGTCTCCTTCTGGATCTCACTCTTTTGTTGTTGTTTTTTTTTCCTCTTACGTTTATGTCACTGACAATCAATTTCCTTGTCTTGAGTGCAAGAGGGTGCGAAGGCATACAAACAAATCGATTTTAGCTTCTAATTTAACCACTGGCGTTGTAAAGTCTTCACAGGTGTTTCAGAAACTGAGCTGAGGGAAGCAGGTATATTAGTGTGTGGAGGCTGTCAAACACCATAAAATCCCCTCAGTTGGCCATGTTTGCTCTGCAAAAATGTAAAATCTTGCCAAGTATTTTTGGTCTAGTTTCTAATGCAAATATCTTAGTACACTAGAAATAAGAGAAAGCTAACTTACCAGTAGCTTTTCAGCATGACGTAGGAGCTATTTTTATGTCAACAGTTCCTTAATATTAAAAAAGCACCAGTTTCACTGACAAATTATTTCAAGATATTTTTTTTCGTGTTATAAGTGAAATAATCTGCCAGTGGAACTTGTAATTTTCATCAATATTAAGGAATTATTCACTTAATCTCCTGTATCTTGCTGATTAGTTACTTGTAGGATAGTTTTGTCTTTTTTTTTAACGTGTGCTGATATATTAGCCTCAGAAACTAGACGAAAAATGCGTGGTGAGATCTTGTGTTTCTGCAGTGTGGTCGCTTCTGAACTGGAAGGAGACCCATGAGAGCGGCTCTGGTGGAAAACACTCTCAAAAGCAACACAGATGTTACAGTTGTTGCTTTTTGTGATGAACTTTGGTGCCATTAATGCTTTGATTGGTCTCCGCTGAGCTCCGGCCTCAGACTCGGCCGGCTTTGTGCAAAACACCAGGGCAACAAAACAGGCTCCAATTAAAATCTGAATGTTGAAGAACTATAATGAAAAACGCACTTTGCCTTTTCCCGCTTCAAACTCTTTCTTTGCCACATTTCGGAGCCCATTAAAGCTCAGATTGATTTGTTTTTCCTTTGTCTTCGGTTGATGTATTCACTACAACTCAACAACTCTTAACCTATTCTCACTCTTCTCATTCAAGAGTTTAACTGTTAGAGAAACTCCTGAATGGCGGCAGCATTAATTAGCTTGTGCTTCCTGAGCTGCTGAAGCCCATCAGCAGCTTCACTGCCACAATGTGATATAAAGTACACACTAAAAAGGAAACCGGTGCGCTAATAGCCCCAGAAAGCAGCTTTTTCGTGACTGCAAAGCCCCCCCACCTCGCTGGCAGTAAAGCTCGAAGCTGTTAAACGCTGACAAACAAAAAAAAAAAAAATCAGTTTGATGCTAGTTATTTTTCTTTTCTGATTATAAAGATGAAACCCATCACGTCGTTTTAATGCTGTCACTCGGAGCTCGGTGTTGCTCCTGTCCCCGTTTTTAGGATGTAGTCTGAAGTTATCCACACGAACTCGGACGTAGTCGGTAGGAGCAATATCTTTGGCATAACCAAAGACAATCATTCAGATGCTGTCTGTTTCGTATTAGAACGTGTCGCCTCCAGGTCGGTTCGTCCCGCCGTCCTCCTGTAGCTGCGTTTAGTTGAAACCCATCGGTGATCCGTGACGACATGTTGCCTGTTGAGCAGCCGTGGAGGGAGGAGGTAGAATGTATCCCATCGCCATGACCTTAAGGGCTGAACCGGATCTGCGCGCACATGCCTGTTAAAGTCGAAGCGAAACACTTTGCGATGGAGGAGCCGTCTCAGTCCACTCCTTTGACCTCCTCCCGCCTCCAGGTGAGGATCCTGACCTGTGGCTGCACACAGTACCTTACAGATTTGTGACCTATGATTAATGTACAAGAATGACTATCCTACATGGGACATAACTCTAAAAATAAGGCCTATTTTTGTACTATATGAACGGTGCAGTGTAATTTTCTTGTAATTTAAAGATGTTTTTCTTTTGTTTTCTCCTTTTTATTTAATTGATGTCAATTATAGATTCTACTAAAAATAAAGATCTATGCAAATTTAAGCGTGCCTTGACTCTTTTTTTTTTTTCACAGTTCCTGTGCTGTTGGGAAAAATATGCAGTTTTAATCAGCATTTCCAAGGCCTCAAGAAAGAAAAAATAATTTCAGACTATTTTCACTCACTTGGTTTTCTTTTTTTCTTCATTTTCATTTTACTCGTTTCTTTTCTTCTGTCCTTTCTCACAGCTGTTTCCTTCATTGCTTCCTCCCTTTTGTCCGACTCGTGTCCTTTCCTTTTTCGTGTCCTTCCTTTCTCACTTTCCTCGTGTACTTTGAAGCTGTCATTGTGTTCGCCTATCATTTCTTTTGTACCTTCCTTCTGTGCTTTTCTTTCTTTCCCTTTTTCCGCATACCATTTCTCTTCAGTATCCTTTACTTTCCCCCTTATGTACTTCCTCTACTTTTTTCTTATTTTTCCCTTCATTTCTTTCTCTTCCATGTCCTTCCTCCCTTTCTTCCTTGCTTGTCTCCTTTCTTCCTTGCCTTCTTCCATTTTCTTCCTTCCTTTCTCATCTATCTTTTTTCCTCTTGTTTTGTTCTTTGTCTCCTTTTTGCACCTTTCATTTCTACCTTAGCTCCTTCCTTGTCTTTCATTTATTTCCACTCTTACCATTTTTTCTTATCTTCCTCGTGTCCTTCCCTTTTCGCTCGTCTTTCTGCACTTCTGTTCCCTTCTCCCCTTCTTTGGATCCTTTCCTCTCCTTTCCTTTGTCTCTCTTCCTCTCGGCCCATGTATTTCCTTTCCTCCTTGTTTTTAATTTCTCTTTCTTCCTGTCAAACATTTTCTTCCCTGTGCTATTTCTTTCTCTCAACTTTCATACCATCCATCTTTTCTTTCTCTTGTTCCTCTTTTCCTTCTTTTGAAGTCTCTTGTTTTCAGATATTTAAACCCTGCCGCATTATATTTCCTAATGAAAGTTTGTGTTTTGTATTTAAATTTGAGCTATGAGAATCCTGCAGCACCTGAAGTTTTTTTCCATGAAGAACATGTTGGTGAACTGAAACACGGTGCTGAAGCTGTGACTCAACCTTTCTATGTGCATCCAGTGAATTAATAATGTACCGAAATACATTTTGAGTTAAAATTACAAATTTTATTCAGTAGAATAA